TGGACCCGCTCCCTCCCTCCGGGGTGCTAAGCAAGGCATCAGATCTAAAAGCAGATATGATGGGCTTGCTTTCCTGGGCTACTTCCGCTGTCAGTCTGGAGATGGTTCCATCTCCATGAGATAATTGCCCATGTTGAACATGCCATTGTGGTCAATTCATGCCAGCTTTGTGCCTCTTTCTGGCATGGTCAGCCTTGTCTCCCGTCCAACGCATGCAAGTTAACTTTGTCCCTCAGGGCCAGAGCCTACAAAGCCGAGGTCCAGGGTTCTGCCCTTTATGCTATGGCCACGTATCAGTGCTACCAAGTGCAGGAGTTTGGCCAGCTGCATGAGGGTGGTTCCGACCCAGGCTTAATGCATGAGCTTTGCACTACAACCTACTATACCCTGTGTACCTCTCAGGACCCCTTTGGGTTCTCACTGTCTCCACATGTTTTCACCATGCTCGTGGAGGGTAGCCCTAGCGCCCCTTTGGCTCGCAGGTATCCGCATACTCAATTATCTCGATGACTGGCTGCTTTTAGCTCACTTGCAGAATCAATTGATTAGAGACAGGGTGCTCCAACACCTTGACCTATTGGGGTTTCAGGTCAACTGAGAACAGAGTAAGCCTGCCCCTGTGCAGAAAATCTCTTTCCTCTGGTTGGAGCTGGACTTGATCAGCCGATTAAATCCACCCTGCTCCCTCTCATGCCCTCTTAGGATTTTTCTGTAGTCTTTTACAAGCCTACGTTGAGATCCGTTCGAACCACTCAACACAGTATGCTTGAGATTTCTGTACTTGAAGGAAGCTCTGCTTGTTGCGTTGGCATCGATCAAGAGGGTTGGGGACCTGGAGGCATTTTCTGTCAGTGATTCGTGTTTGAATTTCAGGCCGGCTTGGATATGTGCTCTAGGTTTCTACCACTCCATTTAAAGACCAGGTTGTGAGCTTGCAAGCACTCCCTTCGGAGGAGGCAGACCCAGTCGTTTTATTGCTGTGTCCTGCTCACGCTCTGTGTATTTATGTGGACCGCACTCTGAGCTTTAGATCCTCCGAGCAGCTTTTTGTCGGTGGGCAGAAGAGGCGTGCCGTATCCAAACAGAGATTGGCCCACTGGATAGTGTATGTCATCTGCCTTGCTTATCATATAGCAAACATGGCGAGCCATGTTTCACAGGAGTGAGAGCGCAGTCCACTAAAAATTTTGTTTATTCCTGGGCATTATCATGTGGCACCTCTCTAACAGATATCTGTAGAGCTGCGGGCTGGGTGACACCTAATACATTTGCAAGATTTTAAAATTGTTGATTGGAAATGATTCCCTCACGTGTGCTGGTGTACACCAGGTCAATTTGGGCAGCAGGTGGTCTCCGCAGTTTCCTCTCTATTGGGACTGCATGTTTTCCGAACGTACTGGCGTATTTAAAAATTCCTTGAAACTTAACTAGATGTATTTTTTATGACTCCCAAAAAATTTTATTAGCCTTTAAATGCTTCACACGTAAATTAAGTAATTACGTCTCTGGTAAACCTCTCACCGGTGATGTGGTAAGGTTCAATCGCTGTGGCATTTTCCATATATTTCCCCATAGTGAAAGTTTCCACATAGCATTCAAGTTTCCCTCCCACTGGGGAATGAAATGGTTACTATGTAACCCTTGTTCCTATAGCGGAAATGCTATGTTTCTTCCCCACAAATAGTTGCGCCTTAGCTGACAGCTTAGTTTGTCTCTTCAGCTAGAAAAGGTGTCTCTGCGATACACGGCTGGCATTTTTATACACAAATGATTGTAATTGCTGCCAGCTGTGTACACTGACACCACAAATTCATTGGCATTTCTTTGGCCCATTTTATTACTTCTTTCGATGATTGGCTTATAACAAAATCCCCATAGTTGAAGTTTCCACATAGCATTTCCACACCCCACCCCCCCCCCCCCTCTTGGGGAACAAGGGTTAAGTTTTAACCCTTTAACAGTTAAGTTTTGCGACGTAAAGCAAGATATGTTTCAAACGAGTCATCAGAGATTGAAATGATGGAATTGGGGCATTTTCCAACCCAATTTTTGCCGTTTAATGGATGGTTAGGGGGCTAAAAAGAGTTGTTTTTATTCTCCTAATGCGGTGTGGGCATGTTTTCTCCCATTCCCTTTAAGAGGAGGTGTTGTCGCACCATGGTGAATTCGCTGGCGCATGGCGGACATGGTATGTAAAAAAAAACAGGACATTTCATTGCCTGTGAGATGTTAAAGCATCTTTTTTTTATCAAACAATTAGCATCAAAAAATGTTATAGTTAACTAAATAGCTGTGAGATGTTAAACTGCTTTTAATATACTTGTAAATAGCTTTTTAGCTACTTTACTCCTTCTGTCCTTTTCTCCTTCCCCCTGCTTTTCTCACTTTGCAATGAACTGGTTTGTATTGATTTCCCCATATGAAGATGAAAAAGTGGAGAGTGCAAGACCGTATATTGCACTGTCAATCGTTCTGGACAATTGCTCTGGGAATAGAGGTGAGATGAGATGGTTTTTCTCTAGAGCTTTCTGAAGACTTAATGTGATTCAGAGAAATTTACATAACTGCCGAATTCTTAGTGGAAAAAAAGCGAAGATCAAATTGTCTGTCTTGTGGATGACAAATTCATTTGACAAGAGACCCCCCTGTATGAATGTACAATGCTTCAAATAATTCACATAAATTCATTGTCATTTTTTTTTTCAATTATTTTTATTACCATAATTATTATTCAATTTTTTTTTTTTCTCAAACAAAATTCAAAGTTACAATTTAGGCAAATGTTCTTCTGAACCATGATTTCTACCAAGGCTATTTTTATTTATTGATATTTACGGAGGGATTTCATGTCAACCAGAGGAGAAATAAATGGAACAGTAATAAATGTAGTCTTTGAAAATGGCCATCCCTTTTGGGAAATCAATATCGCTTCAGCACTGCACAAAAACACCAACACCCACAAACACAATTCTGTAAATGATCAGCAAGATATAAGATCTGCACTTGCAACTCTTATATAATACCAGCTGCATTTGTGTTAAAAATGTGTTATGTTATGCCTCATGTACCTGCAATAGGCTAGATGATGTTTCAGTTCAAGATTAAACATGTCTACGTTTTGAGTGACATATACTGTATATTGCACATGTATGTGTTTTATGTATTTATGCATTTATGCAATAAAAACTATAAATTAAATTCAAAAAGCAAAATACTCAGTGTTTTTTTATCGTATGATTTTGTTTATTTTTGATGTATCAAATGATTTATGCAACATTAGCATGCTGTGAGAGCTTTGACCGTAGTTTAAAAAGCTAATAAGCTCTTAGCAATCCATTTTAATTGATCTAATTAATCAAGTTCAAATTACTCTTGTACCTTGAATAAATATTTGGAGCAAAAACACAGTTCTCACAGTGAATAACATCAAATTTTATTTCCATGATGTTACTTTTGGTTAAACAAATTTGCTTCTTTTCAAGGACATGATGCCTGGTAATAATAAAAAAAAGATAAGGGAGACATCCAAAGATTTTCACCCCATCTTGTAGGCACAACTGAAAGATCCTTTTAATTTGGTTTATCTTAGTCATCAAGCACTATGCTTAGGTTCCTGATTTATGTGGTTTACATTGTGATGGCATTCTCCTTGTATTACTCCATGGTTAGCTGATCTGACACCTACGAGTGTTTAGAATAATCTTCACAGTGCAATGTACATTAGAGTCTGGAATTTCAAAAGGCAGCAGAATAAGAATTATTATAAGGGATGTAACGGTATCAGAATTTTACGGTATGGTAATACCTCGGCATGAATGGCACGGTACGGTATTTATTTATTCATTTACAGGAAAAACAAAACAAATGAAAATACTCAAAAAAAGTGCCAAAAGTGTCAATGACATACAAATTAGCTATCTATCTATAAGCTTTAAAACAGGAACTTCAATTTTTCAATTTTAATAACAAAAAATTATTAAACCATGTAAAAAAAATAAAGTTTCAATTTAGTATTGTTGAAAACTCATCACATTCAACATTTAATAACTCACTCACTCACTTAGATAGAGATGGGTTTTAAGGAAAATTATCGTATAAATATAATCTGGTAAAAGCTGGTATCTCTGGGCATTTACAATGTCCCCTGCAACAGAAAAAAACCCTCTCATTTGGGACTGAGGTTTCTGGGACAGAGATATATGACTTGGCCCAGGTTGACAGCAGTAGGTAACGTTGTGCATTGTCTTTCCCCCACTTGAGAGGACAAGCCATGAGTGAGATAGAGGTCTCTTTGCGGTACAAGTCAATGTCTGCATCAATCTGAACAGTGTGCTGTGTTTCTGCAGTGCCCATGACTGTTATTAGTCGTATTCCCCAACTTGTATCTCACCACAGTCTGGCAGTGCCTGCATACCGTTTTTTTTTTTTTTTGTCACCTTTTCTCCTTTTTTCGGATCTTTTTAGAGAGAAACCTAAATGCTTCCACACATTCGATTTAAAACCTGCTTTAGGTTTGATCTTTTCCAACTCTTTTTCATCCCTGCTACTAGCAGCACACTCCATTTCCGCATTACTGGATCTGTAGCGACAACAGACCGCAAAGGATGATGGCCATGCCTGGGCTGATGGGAATTGTAGTTTCCGCTACCTCCTGTTTGCTTCATTCGCCTGAGCAAATTTTCTCAGAAGACTTATAGTTTTATCGAGTCATGCGACTACGATAATATTGAAAAAAATTACTATTGCGGTATTTTGGTATTTACAATACCGTTACATCCCTAATTATTATTATTATTATATATTTTTTTGGAGTCAGGATACTTGGAGGCCACTGAGTTTACCACATATTTACTTTTGATTATTAAAAGCTTTTATCTGTGAGTTCTATACCATGTTACTTTCAGCTGCTTTAAAAAAAGCACCTACAAAAAAGCAAAAAGCCACACGAGCCAACCCACACATGTGTCCTAAAAACTGCTCTGTTGATTATGTCTCTGCAGATACACCAAGCTGAAAACTGCCACCAACATCTACATCTTCAATTTGGCCCTGGCAGATGCACTGGCTACTAGTACACTTCCATTCCAGAGCACCAAGTATTTAATGAACACCTGGCCCTTCGGTGAGCTCCTTTGCAAAGTGGTCATAGCCATAGACTACTACAATATGTTTACCAGTATCTTCACTCTCACTATGATGAGCGTGGACCGTTACATTGCTGTGTGCCACCCTGTGAGAGCACTGGAGTTTCGTACCCCGATCAAGGCCAAAATAATCAATGTGTGCATCTGGATCCTCTCCTCCGCTGTTGGAGTGCCAATCATGATTATGGCAGTCACTAGAGTGACAAATCAGAGTGAGTACATATTTATAGGCTAAATTCATTTCAACACATGTTGTGTTTGTTGAGTAACGTCTTCTACAACTTATCATAACTGTTTTAATTTATTCTGTAACAGATACAACAGTCTGCATGCTGAAGTTCCCTGATCCAGACTGGTACTGGGACACAGTCACAAAGATCTGTGTGTTTATCTTTGCATTTGTGGTACCAGTCCTAGTCATAACAATCTGCTATGGTCTGATGATCCTACGCTTGAAAAGTGTCCGTCTTCTCTCAGGCTCAAAGGAGAAGGACAGAAACATGCGTCGAATCACTCGAATGGTTTTGGTTGTTGTGGCTGCCTTCATTATCTGCTGGACACCAATTCACATCTTCATCATTGTGAAAACACTGGTTGACATCAACCAAAAGAACCCCTTCGTGATTGCTAGCTGGCACTTGTGCATCGCACTTGGTTATACCAACAGCAGCCTCAATCCTGTGCTTTATGCTTTCTTGGATGAGAATTTCAAGAGATGCTTCCGAGACTTTTGCCTACCATTCAGAACAAGGGCTGACCAGAGTAATCTGAACCGAGCAAGGAATGCCACAAGGGAGCCAGTTTCAGTTTGTGCCCCTTCGGATACAGGAAAGAAGCCGGTATGACTAGGCCTGGACAGGATCCCACGGGGGTCCCAATCTAGAAGAGTACAGCAGGACCTACAATCAGAGGTCACCCAAATCTCCACTACTGAATTCTAGGAGCAAAAGGGAAATCAATTGATTGCAGCTTGAGTACTCAAGTTTAGCATTCCAAGAAGAGACTAAGCTTAGCATCTGCTCTACTGTACCATTTTCTTCCCTTCAGAAGAATTCAAACACATTGATGATCTTCTTTGGAATCCAATGATATTAAACTAACCAGGGGAAAAACAGGGCAAATTATGTCAGCATTATCAGGCGCACAGTGTCTGGTGGACTTTCCTGGTGTGAAATCTTACTGGTTCTGAGAACATAGTACTAATGTGAAGGAAAGACCATGCACTGAAACGGAATTTGTAAACAATGGAACAATCAATTCCCTGTGAGTGAGAATAATGGTTACATCAAGAAACAAAACCCTGACATCCACAGGCTACGAGAAAATAGTGGAAATGGGGTCCAATTGAAGGACTCTGACTGAAAAGGAAAAAACATTTTCAGTAGTTTATTTTATATTTACTTTCTACTATCTCTCAGAGATATTGGATGCTAGAGCCTTGGGGACGCAGAAAAAAAATACAAACACTGGGAATTGATGTAAAAACTTTCCTCTGACATATTTTTACTCCCAGTGAAATTGCGGGGAATGATTGGACATTATCTTACCCCAGAATACATGGGAGCACTTCGAGTGAAGAAACATGATGTATTATAACAGACCAGAGGGTACAGTATTGTCTTAAACTAGTTCTGGTGATATGGACAGAAAAATAATGAAAATAATAGTGATGGACTGCTATAGGCATCATTGTTGAAGATCAGCTCATTGCACCAAAATTTACACCCACTATCCAACTTTACTGACCAAGAGCGCCTCTTCAGACAAACTTTTTTAAACTTTTAACTCCTCGCTTTACTTATGAAAACCTCAGTTTCAAGGATATACTCTATAAGTTTTATTTAGGAAAATGAATCCCAATTAAAGAATCACTATAAATTAATATTTAAAGTGTTGAAATAGAAGAACCATTTAATGTCATTGCTTTAACTTTTGATTATGTCAAAAGTTGTTTTCAATAGATTTTTCGATATATATTAATTATATTACTAGCTTCTTTTTAAATTAGTGAAACATGTTAAAGCCCTAAAATCCTACAATCATTTTTGAATGTCTTGATGTTGAGCTTTAATGAATGCAGTGAGCAATTTGATGATGTGTTATACTGTAGCTTATATTGCTTGTTATACCACCATGCTTTTACAGACAAGTCAGAAGTGTAGCAAAAGAATGTGTGTAGAAAGATGTCTTTTATTATTTGGGATCTTTTGTTGTGGAGGCATTTTATTTTTTGTTAATTTTAAATGATTGGTCCCACTTTATATTAAATGTGGCCTTAACATTACTTTGTGCTTTTAAACTAATAGTTTGGTATGATGTGATTATTGTCTGCATTTATGCTTATTTTTTTTTACACTGCTATATTAAAAAAGGAAGGGGGGTTGCACAGTGGTTAGCACTTTGGCCTCACAACAAGGTCACTTGTTGGAGTTCCGACTGGGCCGACTGTTTGCGTGAGTTTCCTCTGTGTGCTCCAGTTTCCCCCACAGTCCAAAGACATGTGCTATAGGTAAATTAAATAAATTGGCCGTAGTGTATGAATGTGTGAGGCTATGGGTGTTTCCCAGTGCTGGGTTGTGGCTGGAAGGGCATCCACTGCGTAAAACATATACTTGAATAGTTGGTGGTTCATTCCGCTGTGGTGAACCCTGATAATAAGGCACTAACTGTGCATTCACAACAAAGATGATGAGAGTGTCAAAGTTCGCTCTGGCCACTATGGCGACAACGCTGTCTGCCTTTCTGCTCTGCTGGCGGGAGCATCAAAATTTGCTACATCGATCTCGTGTTAAAAGGGGTCGTTGCAGCAAATTAGTTACATTCCCACATAAAAACATGCTCTCTAGTGTGAAAATGTTGTTGATCAAATTTATTTAACTATGGAAGATCAAGTTTTTGTGGCCTTGCTCCACTTATTTAATATAGGTTCATGTCACAAACATTCTGAAGCAGCAATACTGTTTTGCACTGTTGTTATTGTTCGCATGAGATTCCCGTTTTTTTTTTTTAAGATAGAATAAATAACATTAATGCACATCAACTTACCAGTAAACCAAAGTTCACAGTGTCTGTGTTCTCTGGAATCCTCTCAAGCGGTGGATGTCTACATTTTGGCTGGTTACTGTCGAACGGCATCATAGCTCATTACCATAAAGTAGAATTGATTTCAACTCTCCTAGACACCCACACAGGCGAACATGCACAGCACTGATGCTCAATGCTTATTAGTGCTGGCTCCCATTGAAAATGAATGACTTTTGGCTACTTTGATGCTTTTACCACTTTTGGTATGAATGCACGGTAACCCGAAGGAAACTGAATGAATGAATATTAAAAAAAAAAAAAAAAAACTACATCCGTAGTTAATTTCTGTAATTACATTTTTAATTACATGTTTGACCCATCTCTTACCCCCCACACCTTAGCGTAGCCTTAAAACTACCCACACCACCAAACTTGACAACCTTAACCTTTTCCTATCTCAAAAGCCCCAAAAGCGTTTTGCAATAGAGTCTGAACCAAGTACACCACATTTGTTGACTTATTTGTTAAATTTAAAAACATATCAGTAAAGGCCACTTAATATAAAGTCAGACCAAAATATAAATGAGTGTTTTGCTGTTTAAGAGGTGAACTTAACATACCTTATAAATGCTTGATCAGTTTTAATTTAATTATGCGCCAGCTAACTGGATTCGTTTTGATGTTAACCAACAACAGCGTAGGCCTACTACATGACTCACAACTCAAGAGTAAGTATTGTTGATGCCTTGCCTCTGGATATTTTCTAGTTGTGCTATCTCATTGAGTCACTAGTTTTGCTGTTATGATGCTGATAATTGTACTGAGCTGTAATTTTGTTGAAAAGTGAATCTAGTGGAGTTGTGTTTGTGTTGCATTGTTTGAATAAGAAACAAAAAAGTGTTTTTTAGACATTTGCAGCATAGAATGATTTCAAGTTTCATATTTGGTATTAAACTCTATAGGGCTGTTGAGTCAGTTTGTAGGTTTGTGGTTAACACTAGTGAAACAGATATTCACATTTTAAACTGCACAACATTGATCACATAGTTTAAGTACTTCTTAAACTATTGTTTAAAAAAAGTACTATAACGGATATTTCACACACACACACACACACACACACACACACACACACACACACACACACACACACACACACACACACAGGAAATTTGCTATTTTACTCTTTCCATTTATTGTGTTGTTATTTTATTTCTTCATTATAATGCAACACATGCTCATTCAGAAAATGTAGCCCTATATACGTTTCTGGAGATCTCGAATTATGTAGCCAGAAGTACATATTGCTGTATTTCATCTTTAAAACGAATGCTACGGAGCGGTTTCCGCTGTTACCAGTTTGTCCAATTAGCCTGAAATGTTTGTTGATGGAGTTTAAATGCAGAGAGTAGTTGACCATGATGACGGGGTTCAAGTCTGGTGAAGAACAGTTCCATAAAGCGGGTAAATGTGGTAAAATCTGAAAACATGGTAAAAATCTGGCAAGGGCTTTTATTTCTGGATTGCTTTTTTAAACTGTCGGTTGGGTTTAGAGAAATGGGTGGGTGGATCAATCGTTGCTTTTGAAAAGACTATTGGTTGGGTGAAGGGAAGGAGGAGGGTAGGTCAGTTGATCGGTCGGTCAGTCAGCCATTTAGTCAGTAAGTCAGTTGACAGCGGCCGCTGGTGGATTTATGAGAAAAGAGCAGGCGCAAATGGCACTCCCGAAAGAAATTTGAGATCTTAAAAAGCGTACACAGCAGCCTCTGGTGGATTCATGAAAAAAAAAAACATAGCTCCTGTGTCCTATTTAGCACTCACAAGAAATGTAAGTAGAAGTACGTTTTCAGAATGAGCCTGAGTTGTTATTATGCCAAAGACGATTTGGCTCTTGGTGATTTATAAACTGTAAGCCTACTTGTGCAGAAAGAAAGTTCTCATTTCAGTTTTTATTGATGTTTTATAAATGAAATAAATTTCTAGTTCAGACAGATCCAGACACAGCCAAAATGAGGTGACAAGACAGTCGATTTTCATCACAGCTAATTCTTTGATATCAGCTTGGTGTTTTCATGGGCTTTGGAATGTTCATCACCAGTCAGAATCAATTGTTCTATAGTATAGTATTTATAGTAGGTATTGTCCTATTGTATAAGTTTTTATCAAAACAACTAGTAATGTTACAAAAATGACAGAGACGTATATGGTTTAAAAACGTTCTGATGCAAGTTTACAAATAAATGACATATTAAAACCTGAAGCATGTGGCTCATTAATATAATCCTCAGTGGACTGAACTGCAGTATTTGAATGTGACCAATCAGACAAGATCTTAATGATCTACACTCCCATCTGAAGGTAAAGCTGTGTAACCTTTAACTTGCTTAACAAAAAAATAATAATAATAATAATAAAAATATTTAGGTCTCTGATTATCATTTAGTCGCTTAGTAGTCTCAGTAGTCTTCTGAAAGGGCCACGGCACAGTTCTTGTTATTATTTTAATAATCATTGAGATTTTTTTTTTATTTTATTAAGTTAATAAAAGAAAGAAAGAAAGAAAGAATGAATGAATAAAAGCAGCTTATTATAGTTATTGTCATTAGTATTAATTAATTAATTAAATAATTAACTATTTTAAATCATGCCGAATGGTTCAAGGCACAGCCTAATGCAGTTACAGTTGTATTTCTACGTGAGCCTGAAATGGCTTGGCATGATTACAATCCATTCTCAGCCCAGAATTCCAGACAATGTACAGTGCATCCGGAAAGTAGATCCAACATAGATTCTATTAATTCATTTACCTAAAATTCTACACACAATTCCCCAAAATGACAATGTGAAAAAAAAGATTTTTTAGATTCTAGAAAAATAAATAAAAGATTATAAAAAAATATAAAACCTGAAAAAT